CTTCCCCAGCACCAAAACTTAAAGGCACAGATAGCACTGATTTCTTGACAGATGCCACCAGGCCCTCACCTACGCTGAATGTGCCTCTCCTTCTCAGCTGGCTGGACAAAAACAGTAATTGCCATTCACTGCTTTTCCACAATTAAACATCAGCCAAAATCTCAGAGCAATAAGCTGGGGAGCATTACTGAGACAGCACTGATGGAGCTGTGCATCCCAGTTACACTGCCAAAGAGGCCTTGCCACCTTTCTAGGAGAAGCTTTGCCTTTACTCAGAAGGGCTCTGCACCCCAAAGGTACCCCAAGGATGCAAGCAGGCATCACCGCAGCGGTGGAGGACACGAAAAGGGGCCCTTGTGACAGAAATGAAAAGTTACAAAGCAGCAACAGGCAGATCACACTGCATGCATTTTCTGTTTCCTAGCCACATTTACATATTTGAACTCAAGCTTTTTTCTGCATTTAAACTTTGTTTCAACACTAGATGATTTATAAATTATAAAAAAGTACAGAGGAGTGTTCCAGTATCACCCAATGCCAGCTCCTTAACTCATGATGAATAATAATCCCCAAGAATATCTAAAAAACAATTGTCATCTGGTCAAAATATTTTCACATTATCGTTGTCTTAATGTCCAAAATTCAATTAAAGCATTGTGTGGGGGACAGTATGTTTCACTTGGGTAGGAGAAAAACTAACTGCTTTTGCCCTGGATTCAACTACAGACCCGAGAACCATCTGGTAAAAAATCAACAGCATTGTGCAGGCAGCATATTAGTCATGAGATGTAGGACTCTGAGAACAATGCAAACTAAATTTGAGGGACAGATGAGGGAAACTTAATTACTTGCTTAAGCTTCTTCACAGCTCTGAGGAATTCTTAACACTTTCAGCAAAAGAATTTAGCACCAGAGGGCACAAAGCACATCCTCAACTGATTTCTTAATTTTCAGCAGACTCGTTCTCACTTCCAATGTGGGACTCCACATTGGTCCACCACCACACAGCCTGCCTCCCCAGCAAACAGCTGCACGATGCACCACCTTGTGCTACGTACAGAGCAGCACCCAGAACCACACCACTACAGACCTGAGGGCAGACTGCACGTCCTCCTCCAAACTAACTTCCTAAAGAAAACATTTGCCTGACATCACAGCTTGACTCAAACTTCTGCTGTACCCAGAAGCCCTCGCTGATGGAGCATGGGATCTCCTCCAGCTAATCACACAAGTCATTTTGTAGTGTAGCAAACACATGTATGTGTCCCCAGTGACTGCTTAGGGCTTTGGCAAAAATGTCATCCAAATCCAGATCCACTCAAAGACCTTTCCTGTATCAACACCGTAACCTTTGGGGTTGGGATAAGCGTGAAGTTCTGGCACTGCTGGAAGTAAGATTTGCAAACAAGCACCATGGGAAGTGCAAGAAACACAGATGTTCAGCCTCAGGTCACTATTATCTACACTCTTCCTCAAACCTTCAGCTGGAAACCAGGAAGGCTGAGTTTATTCTCTTATTCTCTGAAGGTTTCTTCTCTTCCTTCCAAGATAAACAGGCTGCTTTGTGGAAAACTAACTCACACAGAACTCAGCCCCCATCAGTCTCCCAAGACTCGGGCAGTTTTACAGCAAACAGAGTCCCCCGTGCTCACTGCTGTTTGGACAGGTGGGAATAGAGCAGACAGGCAGAAGAGCTGCAGGAGAAATTCACACCGAGTCAGCCAGCCAAAATCCTTGTGACTCTTTTGTTTGGACTCATCAAGGAAGTAAACTCCTGAATATGATGGTAATATGACAGTTGCTGATTTTACCTTTTTTTATACTAATCAGGTGTGGTGTGCAGAATGGATGATCATGATTCCTAATCTCCCTTCTCTGAAGCTGGTAGCTTAATCAGAAATGCCTTCTCTCTGCTCTGCACTGGGCTTTCTTGTCTCTGGTAGTGACCTTGGCATCTTCTGGGATTACAGGCCTGCAGGAACACAGAACTGGAAAAGACTGCCTGAATTATCAGCTCTAGTCCCCTAATAACACAGGCGGTCACATTATACAATCTCTTTCAGACAATCTTCTTTCTCCATTTCCCAAATCTCCAAAGCCTGTCTAAAATCCCAGATGCAAATAGATGCAAGTTGCTTTGTCACGCTGCTCCCTGGGGAAGGTAGTGAGGATGTCCCAAAAGAAGCTGTGCACAGAGCAGCTCGGGTATGGAAGCAGTACAGGCGTGGTCACAAGGTGCTGCACCAAAGCTAATAAACCTTATCGAGCTGCAGAACTCATTATCTCAGTTGCAGTGCTGGACAAACAGAACTATATTACCTCTGGATTCAAGCTGCTGCATATGCATGCCACAGTATGGCACCACAAGGACTTGCAGGCTGGGGAATCAGCTTACTGGCTGCTAGCTCAGGGATCTCTGCACGAGTTCCATTTTACGATTTCCCAGGGCTTTCCTGCTCCAAAGCATGAATCTAAAACTGCTGTTTATATTAGCAAGAAGTGCCTTTTGCCACTTTCACAGAAATCCACCCAGATCTGACCTCTAAAGAGTGTAGCACACTGGCATTCAGGGAAACCTCCCTGCAGCCTCCCTGCAGCTCCCACCCCCTCACCTCTCCCTGTGCTGACCACGCTGCGTGCCTACCTTCACGGCAGCTGCATGCTCTCCAACCTTCCACAGCCTCAGTTTATGGCTGCTGCCTTTATTTGCCATACCTACCAAACAAGTTCCAGCCAAAGGCCCACAGGCACAGCCAGACTTCCCTCCCCAGGCCTGGCAACAGAACAGAGCAGGCAGGGCATCTTCCTGGATAGCCACTTACTCTGCTGCTAGCCAAAGTGTGCTTTGAAAGCCACGCTGTAATGACCAATCCTCTCAGGAAAAAAAAACAACAATAAAAAAGATGTGGCGTGAGGAAAAGCACGTTGCTAAGGCCCAAGTTTGGCAGCAGAGTTGGGTTTCCAGTCCCTTGGTGGTAAAGCTGATGAGCTTGGAGCCTAGGGGGAAAATTTATTCCAGTGAATGCAAAGAGAGGCTTTTAAGTGACAAAAAGGCAAGTAAAAGGCAGGTCAAGAAGAAAACCAACAGAAATAATTCAAAATGAGCTTGGCAAGCTTACTAGACCTATTCTTGCTTCTATGGTAGATAATTAGTAGGTCTAGGTACAATATTCACTTTCATAGGCCTCCAGAGAAAGAAATCATTTTGAGCTGCAATAGGCAGCCAGCCCTCTCACAAACACTCAGCATGTCCTCTGCACATGGCTTTAAGAAACAAGGAAATTATCTATACCCACTATAATCGAAGATCAGAGCAATGAATCCAGGGCTTTCCTATCAGAAGCCTAGCAACAGCATGCACCTCCCCTACCTTGGTCTCTTCTGGCTTTAATAGTTTCAGCTGCCTTTGAACATGGGCGAAGGATGGTTGATAAATTGCTTGCTAGGGCTGCTGCCCCTTCCTTTTAACCTTTCTTGTAACAACAGACCTCTGACAAGGCAACATTCATACATGCAACTCTCAGAACACATCATGCTCTTTAGAAAACACTTGGAATGAAATGACTCTAGATTGTATCTTATGACTCACAGCACACGGAGATTCATCTGTTCATAAATGAAAAAAAAAATAGAGCTTTCTTATCCTGAAAAGTTGAAAGCTTTTCCCACACCCAAACCACCCTGCTCCTGGCTGTCTCTGCAGGGTGTTGGCTTAGTCTCGCCAAGCCAGGACCCTCTCCCCTTCCTATCAGCAATTATCCCATGGCCCGTCTACAGAATCAATGACCAGGAGCCTTTCTGAGCAGCTCAGGAGCTCAGGCAAAGGCAGTGAGGGAGAGTAGGGACGGGGTGGATTTAAGTGCCTTCCTATGAACAAAACGCTGTCTGCAAAACCAGAGCTCCTACATACAGAGAGAAGTGCCCACCTTGAATTTCAACACTGATGATTGAATGCGCACACTTGAACAGTCTGCGACATCAGAAAGAGACTATCAAACTGTCTCTGCCTCAGAAAGGCTTCATACAACTGCATCCCACACAATAAAAGTGTTAAGATAAATAGTCTCTCTTGATATTTAATGGCACAGCTAGTCTGCCGCCTTCACTTCCCGCACAATGCCAAGCATTAGGTCACCACGACAGATATTTAAGTTTCCCACTCTCCAGCTCCCCACAGCCCACAATCTCCTGAAGCCTCCAAGGCCCTCATTTAGAGCACTCTGCAACAAGTTTCACTCCAGGGAATACAGTTCAGCGAGCAGGAATGTCAGCCTGAGCACCGGATGCAGAGCTGGTTCCTTTTAAAGGATAAGCACTATAATCAAAGGACTGTGATGTTGCAGATAGGCTGTACTTATGGGTCCAGCATCCACGCCACGCTACAGCTACTTAGAAAGGTGTGCTCTCCTCTAATTGTGTTACTTGTCAAATGTGACGGCATTCGGTACTGCAGAGGCTCTTTGAGGAAGATAATTCTGTAACTTGCACCCCTAAGGGGGGAAGGAACATTACGGTTGCTGTGGGAACCTTAATTCTGGATTTCAGGCCTTGCATATTTAAAACCTCAAATTTAACTTTGCATTAATGTAGCTTCATGCATTGAATTAAAGAATGACTCAGTACAAATCTCCGTGCATCTTCTGAAGTCCTGACATCCCAAGGACAAGAGGCTCAGAGCAGCACCACAGCGGTGTGGGGAACGCGAAGGGGAACTTGCAAGCATGGAAGCAAGAAAGCAGCTCATTGGAAGCACAGCAAAGCCCTCACCACGCCAGATATGCAGCTCAGAGCTCTTAGTTGTTCCCACGGAAGGTTACGTAGCCCAAATAGCTCAAAGCAGAAAGACGAAAGGGCATGGAGGAAAAGCTTCCTGAAAGGAGCAAGGGGAAGATTCCACGAAAGTAACAGGATAACCTGTGTTAGGAAGAGAAAGATCATACCCTGATAGCACAAATCTACTCATTTTTTATAATTAACATGGCACGGTTCCCAGATGATGCCCTTACAACCCGTTCAGCTATTCTAATATTTAACGCTTCTTTTACCCACTGCCTGGAAGTTGAACTGCAATGCAAGCAAGGCACCAGCGCTGCCCTAAGTCAGGGGGAAGCCCACAGAGGGCTACTACTCATTGCAAAGTGCCCCAGAACTCAACCCTGCCTTAGGAACAGGGCTGCAGCACTTCATCTTTTGCCTCGAGGCCAGTCCCCGTGCTGGCTGACACTTCTGCTTCCCAGCAGGGCGATCACACACCCGCCACCAACAGCAGGAGGACAGAAGGACACCAGGCCGGCATCCTCTGCTTCTCAGCCCGGTAAGGAACATCCCCTTGGTTTACCACTTATCTCACATCAGCAGCAGCGTGGCTGAATTACTTCTTGGCTTAACCCATGCACTAGTGAAGCACAAATCTTAGCCCAGCCACAGGGCCTGCTCAGCCTCCCTCGATAAAAACCGGCGTGCCAAGCCAGGGTCTGCCTGCGAGGTTGTGGGGGGAAAGGCAAAGAGGCGACGTGCCTGCCAGCAGGGCCGGCTGTACAGGAACAAGCAACTGTGCATAGCCAGCGCAGAGTCAAGTTACTCTGCAACAAAGATAGAGTGTGTGTGTGCGTGCACAGGAGGGAAGGAAAATCCTTTTGCCTGCGCTCCAAGGCTTGTTTTGTTGTTGAAATAAATCTGTGTTTGTTCCTGGCAGGGATAGGGAGTCGGGCTCTACAGGCAGCAACTATCACAGCCCCCAGTTTCAGAGTTTCGGACAGATTAAAAGAAAAAAAAAGGCAAAAACTTAGACATTGATTACTTTTAACCTCTCGTATCTAGGTGAGGAGCCCAAGGGCAAACTGCTGATCTCAAGGGTGCCCAGAGCAGACAAAGCTGTGCGTCTGAGACAAACGGAGCAGCCCAGCAGCTGGCTGCTCCAGAGGAAATTCCAGTCCCTGCTCAAAGGCTGAAAATACATATGCTTTTCTGTACGCTTTTACTTTGCTTGCTGGATCTATATAACATTTTACACATGTTTTTCCTGACATTATTTTCCATATTCCACCAGAAACTTGAGCAACTGTGCCACTTCTGGAAAAACAACCTCGCGTCCAACTTTTGTCCCAGCAGCTTCTCCCTCCGCCCCCAGGCCCCCAGCTCACGCTGTTTCCCCACAACCACAGATCCTCTTCAGTAGGGCTCCTCCGCTACCTGGGCTGTCTGTCAGCAGCACCAAAAGCCCATAAAGCAGAGGCGTATGGGTGCGCAGGGAAGAAGGACACACAGATTTCAGATGGGAGACAGCGAGCAGCATTATACGGATAATTCTGTAGGTGAGGCACCTGCCCAAAGCTCTTCTCTCCATTGGAACTCAGAACTGCAGGAAAAGCCTGCTCGATACCCAGTTAGCAGTACATGCTCTACGTTTTTCTTTTTTAAAGGGGAAACTAAAGCCCACTGTGTGTAGAGGCTGCAGAGCAAAGCTCAACGGAGAGGGCCGCTCATGTTAGTGAGGAGCCCTTCAGCTTTCCATTCCTTATATGTGCAAAGTGTGCAAGCCCGCACACACAGCTCTCTACTCACCCAGAGGTACATCATGTTAGCCTGGGTCGCTCGAACCCAGCAGTGAGATGATCCGGGAACGCAGGAGGCACTTCAGGAAAAAGCTGACGAGACTGAGATTTTTTTTTTCTTTTAAATAAAAAATAAAACAAATCCGAATGGCTCAGTTTGAGGCTTAGAAAGCGTCTCGCCTCCTCCTCCCCCCTCCTCCAGCTCTGGCTGCTCCGCGCAGCGCTCTCGCACTTAATCTCTCCCTGGGAGTTCCCAGCCCGTGTGTCTGCACTGGCGTGCACAGCACACACTCTGCATTTGCCTCCAGGGAATTTCTCTCTGTCATTCTACTTCTGAAAACACGATCTCGGCCTCGCAAGATTCTTGCAAGAGGCAGGGATGGGTGGGGTTACAAATAAATGCAGCCCAGCTCCCAGCACCAGAGCGAGCGCCTTATAAAAGAGGGCTCTCTGCGCATAAAGGAGGCAGAAAGCCATCCTCTGAGGCTGGGGACAAGTCCCCCTGTTGCTCATTGCTTCTCCAGGACCCGTCCCCCCAGCCCGGTGCTACGTACAGCACTGCGTGCCTTCACCTGCCCCACCAGCCAACACCCACAATTTGGTCTTGATTCTGCAGCCGCGCTTAATCACCGCCACCGGTTGGCACTGAGGAGAATCCTGACGCTGAGAAAACACACCACCAGTCACCCCGAGCGAGGCGAACGCTATCGGAGTGAGCTCGGAGAGAGGCAGCTCTCAGATAAAGGGGTTAATGTGCTTCTGCAGGTGGCTCAGCATGCATGGATTTCACAGGCTCGGCAGCGCCGGAGGGAAAGCGGCAGCTGGCTCCAACTCCCCGGAGCGTATCGGGTGTCATGCACAGCCCAGCCCAAGCAGCAGCCTCTCGCCGCACCACGCTCCCATCCTTCTCCCTTCTCTGGGTCACCCACTCCTGCCCCAGGCCAGCAAGACCTGACAGGCCTGGCCCAGTAAGCCTTCGGCCAAGCCCGTGCCCAGCAACAGGGGACGAATGTCACTTCTCATCTCCTTTACCTGTCACAGGGCTCTGCCAGACTCGGGAAACGGGTTCTGCGACCCCTTTCCACTCCCCCCCCCCCCCCCCCCTTCAAAATGAAGAATCATCTTTCCTCTCTAGGCTCCAAACGCTAAGTTAAAATTGGCCTCTTCTCAAATGGGGAGAGAAAAAGAAAAAAAAAAAAAAAAAGTGTTTTCATTGAGGCAGCGGTCTCCTTGGAAATGGGTGTTGAAGAAATATTTTTATCTCCGGCAAAGAGAGAGAAAGGGTGCTCTTCCACATATCCCCTCCGCTCCTTTTGCTTACAGACTACCTGAAGGCAACAGAGCAGACCAGCAGCATGGATGCCCTGCTCCAGCCCTGATGACGTGGGGAACAAGCGAGTTCTGCTCCCAGCCGAGGCCTGGACTCAAACATGGACAATGCCAGCCAGGCCTCTGCCTCTGCTCTCACCTCTCAGCACAGCAGGTCAGGTCCGGAGGTGAAAGGCCATGTTCCTAAATATCACAGCAAGACGCTTCAGCTCATGTTTCAGCTGCAAGGCCAGATCAGTGGCAGCTCCCAGCTCATCCTGCCTGCAAACTCAGGCAGGCACTTCTGCATCTCAGACACCTGATGAGCTTTTCAAGATTTTCTTCTGATCCAGAATCCCGATTCAAAAGTGACCTTACCATCATTTTAACGAAAGCTAAGATTCCTTGAATGCAGAGGAGAAAGTTAGAAGATTCATGGACTAGGAAAGCAAACCCAAATTCATCTTATTTCATATGCATTTTCACAGAACACTTGAAAAAGATGAGTGCTTAAAACTAAGCTGAAATGTGGGCAACAAGCTCCCTAACACCAAGACACACACAAAATTCCTCCTCCTTCTTTTCCAGGCTCTCTCATTCTTTAGGCCACTTTTCCAAGGGAGAGCAAGAAGAAAGAAAATCCTTCTCTGAGTGTTTAGTTTCATTTAATCCATTCGAGTTGCATATTAGGAAAAATTTCTCCCCAGAAAGTGGTGCTGCAGTGGCACAGGCTGCCCAGGGAGGTGGTGCAGTCACCATCCCTGGAGGTGTTCCAGAGCCGTGTGGATGTGGCACTGAGGGACGTGGTCAGTGGGCATGGTGGGGATGGGCTGGCTGTTGGACCAGGTGATCTGTGAGGTCTTTTCCAACCTTAATGATTCCATGAGCCTATCTTCAGGGACTGATTACAAATCATCCCAGCTGCTCCACAGCTGGAGAGGCTACACTAAACCTCCGAAGTGAAGCAAGGCTGATCAGCCCTCCTCAAGTCATCCAAGTGTTGCCTTGGAACCTATCTGCTGCCAGTGAAGTGAAGCCACCACCTCACCATGGAAGCAAAAGGAGAAGACTACCAAAGCAGCAGACTTCGGATGATGACACACCCCAGACACTTTATGATGAACTCCAAGAGCAGGTTTCCTGATGCTCAGTATTTTCAAGCAATGATAGGGTACCTGACCAGGAAGGAAATGACGCTGTGGAATGTCTCCAGCAGCACTGCTGCTCTGATTCAGCTGAGCACTGCCCAGATGGTCAGTGAAACGCCCAAGAACGTGAAGGCTCCCAAGGCTCTCCACAGCTACAGACCGTACTGGTGGCAGTGAAGCCATGCTAGCTTCAGGTTATAAAAAAGATGACAGCAAGATGTTAACGAGTCTGATTCTGGGGAAAAAAAAAAAGAAAAAAAAACCCACAAAGCAAGACATCACTAAGACAGGGCTTTGAAACAGGTAGCTAGGATCCTCAGCAAATTCTTTGTCTCAATCCTAATGACAGCATTTTCCAGGACGTAGGCGCCACAGAATTCAGAAGGCTGCTGTTAGTGGAAATGCATGCGATCTATTAGGGATCTTTCCTGTCTCAGAAAGGATTAGAAAGAAAAAGAAACACATTTTAAAATTAATATAGACTGAGCTAAGAGAAAAAATGTTCAGAGAGCCTTAGCCTAGTGAAACTTGGGCACATCTTCTCCAAGGGGAAGCTGCAGTGTAAATCAAAGTGAAAGGGGAAAAAACAGCCTGCGGAAGATATTAATACTTGCAAGAGAGGTAAGGAAGATGTCAGCAGGTGACAAAACAGGAATCGAGAGAAAAGGGTGCAAGTAACCACTTTTATTTGGCAAAATAAGAGGCAATGGTAAAACAGGAAAAAAAAAAGTCTACCTGTGAGATGGACTCAATCGTTCCTTTGGGTCCCTTCCAGCTTGGGATATTCTGCCATTCTGCACTTGTGTATCTGTATCAAAAGCTCTACATACATAGGAAGAATTGTGGCTGCTCCGTTATGTGCACACAATTCAATCCCAGAATATCACTGCTACAAACGTTTCCAACAAGCCAAGTGATTAAAAAAAATAATTTGAAGATGTTCTAACCTATTTAGGAAAGATCTCAGTGGGCAAATGAGGAGCAGGTATGGCACCGTTTCAAACCGACATTATCTGTTTCTAGCTGATGGTGTCTCAGAGGCGTATGATTTCAAATGCTTGTGGATTAACATTTTAGCAGATAAAGCTCAAGACAGGGTATGAGCTAGTGTGTCTGCTACACACAACTGAAATCACATTAGATAGTAAGCAGGATGAGTGGCTAGCTAAGCACCTCTTCATAATGGAGGAAAAACCCATATGATCACCAGGAGTTTCAAAGGGAATGACACACACAGGAGGCGTCGTGGAGCTAATGCCAAAGAACACCCTTGAAATTTCTAAATTATAGAAAACAATTTCTTAGTTCAAGGAGTGTTACATTGAAAATGAGCAATTTCATATTAGATTTCATCTTGACAGAAAAGAGCAATCAATCGTAAAAATAGAAATTAGTGGTAGCTTAGGTAAAAAAAGATTGTGACAATCACATTTTGGTATGTGGAAGCAGAAAGGAAACTAAGCCAGTGCATTTCCTTATATACTTGGCATCTGAGTGGGACCAGAGGTACATTGGCCTGCTTTTCCTGGATAAACAGATCACTTACTGGGCTTGCCCGTCACACTGCCACACTGGAACGCTGTTTCATATTCCAGCAAGTGGGAAAAAAATCAAAGTTGAGAGAAGGAAACAAATTAGAAAGGGCAGAAAAAAAAAAAAAGAAAAAAAAAGAAAAAAAAAGACAAGGGAGTCGTAAAGACAGGAGGAGAAACCTACAGCCACAGCTGAAGGACAGTAACGAGTTTTTCAGCAGCTCTCAAGAACAGCAACCACAGCAATCAGCTTGACGTGCTATGAGGGGGAAAAGGTAGAAACACAGGCAATACTGAAGAAAGAACTAAAGCATTCAATACGTATTTCTGTTCTATATTTGGAAAAAAAGTCAGCTGTTGTGGTCCTGTGATAACAAAATGCCTTCCATTCCAGCAGTAACTAAGGAAGATGTTCCAACAGCTTCCCAACAAACAGCACTGTTGTCCTCTTATCTAGCTAGAGCTTACAAACAGGAGGGATATAACTAGATAACAAGTGAGTTTTAACTCAAATACAGCTGTGAACACATTTAGGTGTAGACACTTAGGAAGGCCTGCAGTCGCTAATTGCTCCATCTGTATTCACTGCACCAACAAGCCGTAACTACACTGCTCCCTACACTGCTCCTGCTGTAAGGCCAAAAGCACAACCACCGTGCAGAGACACCCTCAAATGCAAGCATTGGTTGGAATCTGTATCATGAAAGCCTTGCTGCTGTTAGCTGAGCTTGGCCAAAAAACTGCATCTCCACCAATTCCAGAATGCTGCATCAGGGAAGCAGTGCTATTGAAGAAGCTACCAATACCAATTTTTGCAGCAGCTGAATTTTCCTAGAAGCATCCACTTTTTTCACTAATGAGATTTCAAACAACATCCCAGCACTGACCAAAGCAAAGAAACCACTGTGGGGTCTTATAACGGGAGAAAGAAAATGACTGAAGACCACAGGTAGGGGAGCACAGATTCAACTGAGTTCCTCAACACATTTGGGAGAGCATTCAGATACATGAATGAAAAATACTGACCATGAAAACATCCACTCCTGATATTTAACACGGCTTCCTGGCAACCTCTCCTATAAAACAAAACTGAAAAATAGTTTTTAAAAATAGC